CAATGATCCTCGGGTCTGTTTCTTAGCCAGTACCATGCTGTTTTTATCACAGTGGCTTTGTAGTATAGTTTCAAGTTGGGGATTGTGATACCCCCGCCATGTCTCTGTTACCTAGAATTGCTTTTGCTATTCTAGGTCTCTTCTTGTTCCGGATGAACTTTTGGATTGTTTGCTCTAGATCTGTGAAATATGCTGTTGTGATTTCAATTGGGATTGAATTGAATCTGTATAGCAGTTTTGGAAGTATGGCCATTTTCACTATATAGGTTCTTCCTACTCAGGAACAGGGGATGTCTTTCCATTTTCTTGTATCCTGTTTGATCTCTTTATTCAGAGTGCTCTAGTTCTCAATGTAGAGGTCTTTTGCTTCCTTCATTAGATTGATTCCTAGATATTTCATTTTTGTTTGGATGCTATTGTGAAAGGGATTGTTTCCCTAACGTCTCTTTCTGTGAATCTGTTATTTATGTTCAAGAAGGCTATTGATTTTTGAGTGTTGACCTTGTATCCAGCTGCCCTACTGAATCTGTTTTGTGTGTGTGTGTGTGTGTGTGTGTGTGTGTGTGTGTTTTGTTACCGGGGATCGAACTCTGGACCTTGCGCTTGTGAGGCAGGTGGCAGAACCACTGAGCTAAATCTCTGGCCCACTCTACGGAATCTGTCAATTAAGTCTAGAAGTCTTTTGGCACAGTTTTTTGGGTCTTCTATGTAGAGTATCATATCATTTGCAAATAGTGACAGTTTAACTTCTTCCTTTCCTATCTTTATTCTTTTTATTTTTTTCTCTTGTCTAATTGCTGTGGCTAATATTTCCAAAACTATATTGAACAGGAGTGGTGATGGTGGACATCTTTGTCTTGTTCCTGATTTCAGTGTGAAGGATTTCAGTTTTTGACCATTTAGTATGATGTTGGCTATTGGTTTTTCATAGATAGCCTTTATCAAGTTGAGATAAAGACCATCTATTCCAATTTTCTCCAGGGTTTTTTTCAGGAATGGTTGGTGAATTTTATTGAATTCTTTTTTTGCATCTATTGAGATGATCACATGGATTTTGTCCTTGACTCTGTTAATATAGTGCATCACATTTATTGATTTATGTATGTTGTACCATCTCTGCAACCCTGGGATAAATCCAACTTGGTCAGGGTGTATGATTTTCTTCATGATCCTCTGTATTCTGTATGCTGGTATCTTATTGAGGATTTTTGCATCTAAGTTCATTAGGAAGGTTGGCCTGTAGTTTTCTTTTTTGATTGGGTCTTTCCCTGGTTTTGGAATCAAAGCAATATTTGCTTCCAGGAATAAATTTGGAAGTATTGCTTCCCTTTCAATTTCATTGAAAAGTTTAAAGAGTAGTGGCAGTAGTTATTCTGTAAAGTTTTGTAGAATTCAGCAGTGAAGCCATCAGGACCTGGGCTTTTCTTTGTTGGTAGATTTTTAATTACTTTTTCAATTTCATTGATTGTAATTAGGGTGTTTAGAATTTTTATATCTTCTTCTTTCAATTTGGGTAATTCATATGTATCTAGAAATCTGTTCATTTCTTCTGTGTTTTCCATTTTATTAGAGTACAGGTTCTCGAAGTAGGTATTGGTGATCCTCTGGATTTCTGCTGGATCTGTTGTGACTTCACCTTTTTTGTTTCTAATTGCATGTATTTGAGCCTTTTCTTTCCTTTTTTTGATAAGGTTGGCTAAGGGTTTATCAATTTTATTTATTCTTTGAAAAAACCAACTCTTCTATTCACTGATTTTTTGGTATCATTCTCTTAGTCTCCACTGCATTGATTTATGTTCTGATCTTTATCATTTCTTCCCTTATATAAGCTTTGTATTTGTCTTCCTCTTCCTTTTTCTAGGAGCTTAAGATTCAGCATTAGGTTGTTTATTTGAGGTTGCTGTGTTTTCCTAGTGTGGGCATTCACTGCTTTGAATTTCCCTCCTAGAAGTTCTTTCATTGTGTCCTATATATTCCTGTATGTTGTACTGGCATTATCATTTATTTGTAAAAACTTTCTAATTTCTTCTTTAATTTCCTCTGTGACCCATTGGTTGTTTAGGAGAGTGTTATTCAATTTCCATGTGTTTGTGAAGTTCTTGAGGTTTCTTATGCTATTGATCTCCAGTTTACTTGCACTATGGTCTGATAATATACATGGAATAACTTCAATTCCTTTGCATGTACTTAAACATGTTCTATGAGCTAGTATGTGGTCTACTTTGGAGAATGACCTGTGTGCAGCTGAAAAGAATGTATATTCGGAGGCTGGGGATTTAGCTCAGTGGTTTTGCCACCTGCTGCACAAGTGCAAGGACCTGAGTTCGATCCCTGGAACCAAAAAAAAAAAAAAAAAGAATGTATATTCTGACTTTGTTGGGTGGAACACTCTGTAGATGTCTATTAAGTCCATTTGTTCAAAAGCTTGCTTCAGTTCTAGTATTTTGTTGTTGATTTTTTTGTGTAGATGATCATCTATTTGTGCCAGTGGGGTATTGAGGTCCCCCACTACAATTGTAATAGTGTTTGTTTTCATGTCCCCTAATACTTGTTTTGTATAGTTGGGGACATTAGTATTTGGTGCACATATATTTAGGATTGTCACCTCTTCCTCTTGGATTTTTCCCTTTACAAGGATGTAGTGACCTTCTTTGTCTCTCTTAATTAGTTTTGGTTTGAAATTTACTTTGTCTGCAAATAAGATAGCTATCCCTTCTTTTTTCCTGGTTCCTGTTGCATGGAGAGCCGTTTTCAATCCTTTTATTTTCAGTCTATGAGTTTATTTTTGAACTAGGCACGTATCTCGTATACAGAATATTGTTGGATTTTGCTTCTTAGTCCATTCTGCCAGTCTATCTCATCAAGGAGCCTGAGAGAGGCCCTTTTTCTGTTGTTCACTTCTGCTTTATCTTCTGGAGCTCAGGAAAAGGACCTTTTGACCCCCCTGTGCCTCTGCAGTGTGGAACCAGGTACCAACGCAGCCAGGAGGCCGGGGGGGGGGGA